CCATCTAGTTTGTATTGATTAATATATTATAGTATTTAATGATTTGTTATAAATATGTTATGAAACATTAAAATTTACTAATATATTATGAAATATCTTTTTCTATTATTTTATATTTTTCAACTACCTTATCACATGTCTTTTGTCAATTACAATTAATTTATCAGCTAGTTTGTCAAACGTAACCGAAATCCATTAGAAATTAATTGTGAGTATTTAAAAAGAAATTCTTAATTAGTTACTGAAGAATAATTGGAGAAATTTAAATAATTATTACTTTATTTAATTTCCCTTGTAAATCCGATCGATAATCTATTAAGTTTAAAAAAAGTTTAAACTCACCAAAGAAATTCAATTAATTTATTTTTCAACTATAATTTGTCGGGGAATTTTGTTAATTAATTGATCTTTTTATATGTAATTTCTTTTAAATAAGTGGTAGATCACCGATGGATTTTTTAAAAACTAATAAAATAATTAAATTACGTTGATGATATATTATAATTTAAAAATAAAAAAAAATTGATAAAATTTAGTATAGGATCACCAACGAATTGGTGATGTAAGTCGACAGATATGTCTAAATATCCAATTATCTATGATTCATCATTGATCCGCCAACGAATCAGTGGTAATGATATATTTGTTATCACATGTATGTGATCTTGAAATTTCTCCTACTTCTTGAAAATGGACCACCTTCTCATTTGTATGTATGTATATATGTATATGTATGTATGTATAGACTTGGAATCACGTGAGACAAACCTGTTTTCGTAAGACCTGTGAGACCACTTTTTTACACTTGAAACTTCATAGCAAAACGTTGTGAAGGTAACCTTAATAGTGTTTTTAAAGTGATGATTCAATTTTTTTACCTTCACGACGTTTTGCTGTGAATTTTCAAGTGTGAAAAAGTGGTCTCAAGAAACAAGCTAGTCTCACGTAAACTCAACCTTATATGTGTGTGTGTGTGTGTATATATATATATATATATATATGAGCATATTCAATGAGAACATCATATATTGTGATAAGTGTGAAAACTATTATAATAAGATATTGTTTCATATGGTTTCTTCCATCAAAGACTAAAATTTGATTTATTGATTAATTAATATATATTTGATTAACAATATGTTTGTTTCATATGTATTTGGTTCACAATATAAAAAAAAATTAGTTCTATTTTTATGTTCTACAAACACATAAAAAATATCCACATTGTTAAACAAATATATGTTAATTAATATATACTAAATCCAAGCCTTAAATGAAAAAAAAATCATGTAAAATAGCATATAACGCAATAATTCTCAACGTTGTCACAATTTTATGAGTTCTCAAATGAAGACTCATATATAAAAACGAGAATCAAATACAGATTACCAACCCCTGAAAATCGATATATATATAAAAAATTACATTTTTTTTTATCAAATGCTATGATTTAAGAGATTGTTTCATACCGTAAAAAATACACGTGAAACTTTTATTTAGTTCACACGGTGAAACAAAAAATATATGTAAAAACGTTTCAAATTGTGAAATAAATACATATGAAAACATCATATTATAAGACAAATACATGTGAAAAATAACTTTTAGATAGTTTCTTAATTATCGATTTATAACCTTTTTTATGGAACGGAAACGAGTACATAATTTCTATGCATTTTGTACCGTAAACAAGTGCAACTAGATAGAAGGCCCAAAGTACAAGTAGTTAATGTGAGATTAATTAGCGTGGTAGGAACAAGTCGACACATTCATCTCTTTATAATCGAGTCATTGTTTCCATTTCAAGTGCATAACATATATCTACCAAAAACCTATCTTTGGGTTAAAGCCAAAAGAATTATCTTCATTCATCATGTTCTCGATGCGTCTTTCAGTCGTTAAGGCCATTGTGTTTTCGTTATATGCTTCTATTAAGCTATGCAGCAGCGAAGAGACTGTAAGTCTGCCAAAAGATGTCTCGATACCAGCAGTCATAGCATTCGGAGACTCCTTCGTCGACACAGGGAATAATAACCATATCAAGACTTTGATCAAGGCTGATTTTCCTCCTTATGGAAAGGATTTTATGGGTGGAAAACCAACCGGAAGGTTCTCCAATGGGAAAGCAATAGCTGACATTTTAGGTACAGTTTCATTCAAATTGTCCGTACACATCACCTTTGTTCAAGTTTATCAGACAAACTTTAGGTCTTTTACTCAACAGAGATATAACTCAATGACCTTCAGATGTTTTGTCTACAGTGTTCAACTGTAAGATTCCAGAAAAATCTAGAAGAAATAATAAAAAATTAGGTTATAGAAGTCAATTTTCACATATGGTCGATATTTAACAAGATAATGCATATATAGCTGGAGTTGCCTCAAAGCATTTATTTTGCATTTATCATACTTAACTTCGACCCATGTTCACATTTATTATGGTTCATCTGAGGGCCGTCCCTAGAAGAGGATGGCACGGACACGAACAAACGTTCAGGACTCAAAAATATCAGGGGTCCAAATTTTCCCCTTAACATAAATATGTAGTCTAAATTCTTTTAATAGATTAAAGAAACCCAAAAAAATGTAACATATAATAATAGGCAAAAAAAATTTAGTAGATAATAAGGGTCCAAAAATATATCAACTAATTATATTAGAGAAGAAAATAAATAAAAAATAATTGGTCATTCATTATATGCTATTGTTTATTGTCTATATAATTTTCTTTTATCTCCAGCAAGGTCTAATAACATTGGCTATTGCTGTCTCTATATACTTGACTGTTTTCGTGTTTCAACAATTCAACGTTAAGATCTTGTTCTTGTTATTGCTATATATTTTTGTTGGATATTTTTATCTATTACTGCTTCTATTGACTATTGTTATTTGGTTATGTTCTTCTAATTGTTTTTGTTGACTATTGTTATTTATTTTTGCTTCTACAAAAAACATTTACTATTGTTTGACAATCAATTTATTGTTCTTATGATTTATGACGTGTTTCATAGTTTTGTAATTAATCAATAAAATTTCCCTACTAGATGTATTTAGTAATGTCTTTTATATATGTCATGTTCCATAAACTTTTAATCTTTACATCTTATTTTAGTTGAGCAAAAATAAGAAGGAAAAAAGAAATTTTTGACTTATGTATCGTTAATTGGAATTCCACCACACCACAAGATTCTATTTAAGTACTCAAACAACCATTTGTTGAACTTGTATATTATATGTTTAATTCATTATTTATTCTTATTACATCTCAGTGGATTATCTTTCCTTCCATATTCTTATTGATCCTCGTTTCTCTACCTATCTAAAAAACCTTGATATTCTTCTCTATTATTGATCTCTCATTAATCCTCACGATTACTTCATTCACACAATTTTTTTTTATCAAATGACATATATATTTCTTGTTATGAACTAAAAAAATTATTACTTTTTTATAAAAATTTATCAATCACAGTTTTTATACTCTTGGTTTCAAATTATCTAATAAGAAGTATGTAAATTTAAGTACTATGTTATATATCTATAATAAAGATAAATAAGATTTCTTTTCTCAGTAAATTATTAGCATTTCTTATACTCAATTTTATACAAAATGAAAAACATTTATTGAATTTTTTTTCATACATATCGAGGGTCACTACAAGAAAAGTGAACTTTGATGATGCGCCTTAGCGATAACATGTTTCCGCCACAAAAGTTATTGCGACGACATGTTATATACTCTTTCTAATGATAAATGGACTTTTAGCGACGACAAAAGTCGTTGCTAAAAGCCTTGTTTCTCGTAGTGGGTTCCGTTTTTACGTTCGCCCACGGCCTATAAAATGTCAGGAACGAGCCTGGACTTCATCTTTTTATTTATATATAATTTTTCATATCAAATATCACATTACATCCTAACGTTTTGAACACAAATCAAATAAAAAATACATCCCATGTCACTGTAACAAGCAAAGCATTTGGTAAGTAAACGATACAACATTTTATGGTATCTTCTTTGATTAAATAGTTTTTTCATGCTGAATTTCAACACTTCCTGTATATATATCTAACTCATCAAGAACATAGTGTGAAAGAAGTTCAAAATAAAAAGAAATCACAGAACTTATAAGCATTACATGCCAAAATCTTCGAAAAAAATGAACAACAAGACGTAAAGGATCAAGGGGAATGAGTCCTATAGCACATGCATACAGTACTTTCTAAGTTCTAATCATTTAGACTGACGAAGCAGCAATTGTTTGATGGCAAATTCTAAGCCAAGGCATTAGGAGTGAAGGAGTCTCTTCCAGCATATCTAGACCCTTCCGTACAAGCCAAAGATCTTCTATCAGGTGTTAGTTTTGCTTCTGGTGGCACTGGGTATGATCCATTAACACCCAAAATATCGGTATGTGTCAATATCCTGCTTTTAGTTGCTATTTCCTTCTTATCATTTTCATTATTAGATGAAACGGCTGCTATGTGTACCCGAGTATGCATTTATTTTGCCCATTTGTTTCTCATTTTTGCTGTACAACGATTAGTCTGTTATACCACTATCTGTTCAATTGGACAACTTCAAACAATACATTGGGGAGCTCAAGAGAAACATTGGAGAAGAAGCTGCACAGAATTTAATCACGAACAGTGTGTTTTTGGTAGTAGCAAGCACCAACGATTTGGTTTTAAACTACTTTGGGGTTCCCGTCAGAAGACTAGAATATGATGTCCCTGCTTATGCTAACAAGCTGGTAAAATTAGCCTCGAACTTTGTACAGGTATTGATTCGATCTCTCTAAGTTTTCTATGATGATATTAATTGTACCATATATACACATGCACACTTGATTTGCTTTAGAAAATAAATACTTGCAGGTTTGCAGGTGATTGCTGCAAACACTAAGTACAAAAATGGCTTTTTGTGACGGTTTTGAAAAAATATATTTGTAACGGTTTGATAGAAAACCGTTGCAAAAAGTGACAAAAAAGTTAAAGAATTGTTTTAGTAACATTTTTTTTTATAAAAAAGTGTTACTATTAACAAACACCTAGAAATATAAAGCAATGGTTTAGATAAAAACGTTAATAAAAGGTCCCCTAAAGTTTCAGTTTAGGACAGGTTTAAAAACCGTTGCTTTATGTTGTGACGGTTTTTAAAAAACCGTTGCCATGTAAGACCCTTTAGGTATGGTTTTTCTCTAAACCGTTGTTCTATGTCGTAACGGTTTTAAAAAACCGTTATTAAAACTAAAATAAATATGGCAACGTTTATTTGGAAACTGTTTCCAAAAGTTACCAAGTTATATAATGGTTTTGCAAAATTTGTGTCACCAAAAGGTATTGTATGGCAAGAGTTTTTTTTGAAAGATTTACGTTATCATGTGTCATGCTTTTGTAACGGTATTAAAACATTTGCATCACCATATCTCAAGCTACATTGACGTTTTTGAATGATTTACGTCGCCATATTTCATGCTATGGTGACGGTTTTGAAAAATAAACGTCACCGTACGTCATGCTATGGTGACAGTTTTGAAACATAAACGTTATGCAACGGTGACGGTTTGAAATAAAAAAAGTCACCCTATGTCATGTTGTAGTGATGTTTTCAAATAATAAACATCGATATATGTCATGCTAAGATGATGATTTTAAAGAATTAATGTCACTATATGTCATCTTATGGTGACAATTTTGAAAAATGAACATCATCCTATGTCATGCAACAATGACGCTTTTGAAATCTAAATGTTACTGTATATGTCATGTTACGGTAACGGTGTTGAATGATAAATGTCACAGTATGTAATGTTACAGTGACAATTTTGAATGATGAACGTCACCGTATGTACGTCATTTATAATGACGATTTTGATAAAGTTATGTCACCGTATTTCATGATACAGTCACCATATGTCATTTTATGGTGATGTTTCTGAATGATAAATGTCACTGTGTCACGCCAATATTACAGTTTGGAATAAGGAACGTCACCGTATGCCATATTTTGGTGACGGTTTTGAAAAATAAACGTCACCATACGTCCTACTATGGTAATGGTTCAAAATTATAAATGTCACTAGATGTAACAACTCGTCCCATATGAATAAAAGATGAAAATTGTTAGCTCCTTATAGTAACTTTTTTTATAAACAAATTTAATATTAATATAATAAAAAATGGGGTCACATCATATCGAAGGTCAAGGCAAGGTTTGAGTCCCATCAAGCCCCTGAATTTTCTTTTATTGTTTCTTGGTCCTTATCTTAATGTCAGATTTTTTTTTTCTTTTGCATTTAGACCCCTGTACGCACTGCATGATGCGTAAAGGGTAAATAATGGTTATTTTGTTAGAATATTCAATAATAGGGTTAAAAATGTAATTCTTTTATTATATATGGTTATTTTCGTCAGTTTCTCCTCAAAGTAGTGGGTTACCAATAACTTCCGTCATGGTTTTAAGTTGGATTCGAAATTATTGGGCCAATCCATTGCTTTGGGCTTTGGAGATGTTACAAATGGTATCATATCCGATCCTTGTACCATCAGAATGGTGGGGCAAACCTCATTGAGTATGATGAGTCCTCGAGAGGGGGTGTTTGTAATATCTTAGGCGAATCCCACATCGAACATGATGTTACAGTGACTATTTCAAGAAATAAACGTCACTATACGTCATGCTATGGTAACGGTTTTTACAAATAAACGACGTACATTGTATGTCTTGCTATGTTCACAATCTTTAAAAATAAACGTCACGATATGTCATGCTATGGTGATAGTTTTTGAATATAAATGTCAACATATGTCATGCTAAGATGACATATTTTAATAAATTAGCGTCACTGTATCTCATGCTACGGTGACGGTTTTAAAAATAAATGTCACAGTATGTTATGCTACGGTAACGGTTTTAGAAGAAGAAAACAATTTTTTTGTACATTTTATGTGACGGTTTTGGCCTATAGTAACGGTTTTTGATGTGATTTAATAACATTTTTTAAACGCAACCAAAAGTGTATCAAAAGTGACGGTAGCTACGGTGACGATTTTGTGTCCACAAAAACCGTTACCATATACCTACGGTGATGATTTCTAACCGTCACTTAAGACCATATTTACATGCTTCAATGGATATAATTAAGTTGTTTGAGAAAAGACTCAAAACACAATAAATTTTATACAAACATAAACTGCAAAGAGTCATCTTGATATGTTCTTAATATTTATTGAAGGAAATATACAATCTGGGAGCAAGAAAGATTGCTGTCTTTAGTGCACCCCCAGTTGGCTGTCTTCCTGCAGTGAGAACCTTAGCCGGAGGTGCACTTAGAAGGTGCAAAGATAAGGAAAATAAGGCAGCACAACTGTTCAATAGCATGCTAGAAAAACAGCTCCAAGTTCTTGCAAGCAGCCTTCCTGAGTCCAGGGTTGGCTTTATAGATTTCTACAATCCTTTGATAAGCATCATCGAGAACCCTAACCAATACGGTATTCACTACATTCAATATATGTTTTTTTATGAACAAAAGTTCGTAAATATATTCTGGAATCTTCGCTATATCAATATGCACACTCACATTACAATAAGCTTTTTCTTTTTCTTCGTTCTTGTTTTCCCTAGGGTTGGAAGTAATCGATAAAGGTTGTTGTGGAACCGGAGCGATAGAGGTAGCTGTTCTATGTAATAAACTCAGCCCAACATGCTACGACGATTCTAAATTCTTGTTCTGGGATAGTATCCACCTATCGGAGGAAGGAAGTAAAATCTTTGTAAATCATATTCTACCGGATGTGGTGAATAGTTTGTTCTAGATGTATCCAGATTTTACTGATGAGGGGAAATGGTATTGTGGAGATAATGAACCTTGTTTTATGAATAAAGGCAGGCAATTTCGTTCACTTTGGAATCTAATTACCGTAGCCTTCACCTTTCTTTTGGTCAGCCGATGTATTTTAGATCCGAATGTTCCTTTATGTTTCACGAATGTGCTCTTTCTTCTCAGTGAAATCTAGTTACTATTCCATATTCCCAGGAGGAAGCAGTATTGGGAAAAATGTGGTCGTTGAACATGGAAGGCCGGTTAGAGTTCGTTAAATGGAGGTGAGTTTTTAGTAGCTATAAATAGATCGTGCGAGCAGGGGAGAAGATCAATGAGAGTTCTTGATGCAACTTATAAAATTCAAGACTAAGATTAATCTTGTTGATTCTGCAAACCTGGAACGATACCAAACTTTAGGCTCAAATTGAATTTACAACGAACTCAAAATTTTCTTGGAAAATTGAACGAAAAGTCTCTGTATTTCAAATGTAATTAAGGTGGTTTTGCATCTCAAATTCCAACAGGATTTAGGGTATAAATAGACCAAATTAAACTTCATATTCTCGTTTTATATATAAAAGAAAAATGCATTGAAATAGATAAATACTTTGGTTTAACTCTTATACCGGAACCATCTTTTAAAACCTTATTTAACAACATATATGTTGAAAAATGTAAATTTTAGTACCCCATAATGCGGACATGACACTTACATCGCTACTACTAAATGAAAGACTTTTATCTAGCGACTTCTGAGAAATCCGTTGCTAAAGAGTGATTCGTTAGAAAACCATCACAAAAGTTGGGATCTATTGATTTTTTCTTGAAAAATATCGGATTCTACCAAACCATTGATATTTTCTGGGTGATCCATTGATAAAAGTCATTTGTATGCAGTGAGTGGACATGTAAAACTTAGACATCATTTTTTAACCCGCTACTCTTCCCGAAATACAAGTAATTAATGTGAAAATGGCTACCGGTAAAGCATGAAATAAACAAGTCCACAATTCATGTCTTTATAATCGAGCCACTATTCGCATTTCTAGTTCATAACAGATATTTCTAGACCCTATGGCACATGCATATAGCAGTTTAAAATTTTATCATTTAGACCGACAAAACAGCAATTGTTTGATGTCGAATTCTAAGCCAAGGCACTAGGAGTGAAGGAGTATCTTCCAGCATATCTAGACCCTTCCATAGAAGCCAAAGATTTCTATCAGGTGTAGTTTTGCTTCTGGTGGCACTGGGTATGATCCATTAACACCCATTATAGATCTGTATGTGTCCATGTCATGCTTTTCGTTCAACCTTTTCCTTCCTACCCTTTTCATTATTAGATCAAATGATACTATGCGTACGTGATCATCGTGCATTTGTTTTACTTATTTATTTTTTATTTTCGGCATACCACGATTGATCTGTTATGCCACTACAAGTGCAATTGGACAACTTCAAACAATATATATATATATATATATATATATATATATATTTATTGGGGAGCTTACAAGAAACTCTACTTTTACTGGCGGGTTTCAGAAATCCGTCGGGGAAAGTAACTTCTACCGACGCATTCAAACAAAATTGTCGGTAAGTTTAACTTTTTGCTGAATATAAAATGTTGTTGGCAAAAATAAACTTTAACGGGCGGAGTTTTTCTAAGGGGTGGTAAAAAAAATTTACCTATGAATTTCTCTAACCCGCCGGCAAATGTATTTTTAACTTTTTAATTATGACATTCTTACGGGCGAACATCACTAAGTTGCCGGGAAAAATATTTTAATCTTCATTAATAATTTTTTTACATACATTTTTGCCGACGGACGTCCCTTAGTCGCCGACAAAAATATATTAATTTCATTAATCTTTTGTTAACGTAAACTTTTGCGGGCCGAATTTCCTAAGTGACCGGTAAAAATATTTATTTTCTGGCTGACTTCCAAAATTCGTCAAAAAACGCATATTCAACTTAATTAATACAACACAATGGGACACAATAAGACTGAACTAGGACTGTATTTTGACGCATATTCAATTTTATTAATACACACAATAGGACACAAGAAGACTGAACTAGGACTGTAAACGAACCGAACGTTCAGTGAACTTTCCATAAACCGTTCGGCGGAAAGTTCGTTTATCTTCATTTGTTTAATAAATGAACGAACATGAACAAGTTTTTTTGTTTGTTTAGTTAAAAGAACGAATATAAACAAATGTCTCATTCGTTCATTTATGTTCTTGAACGTTTGTTTATCTTCGCTTACATTCATTATTTGAAGAAAATATATTAACAATTAAATAACACTAATAACAATAACAATAACTAATAATAATAAAAACAATAATAATATGTTAACATTTTTTGATTTTTTCTTTTTGAAAACTAATCCATCCCCCCTTCACTCATATAGATGCATATGCCTTTGTTTTCTTCGAAATATCCGATGTTAATATTGGTTCTTAACTGAAATGTATAGTGTTTTAAAAAATTATGGGGCACCTGTTAAAGTTTAGTGAGTGTATCTTTTATGTACCTAAAATTTTCAAAAGTCTCAGTTCTACATGTGGGTTTGCCTTTATTTGTTCGTTTATGTTTATTTATTGTTCATTTATCATTTAAGTAAATGAACACAAAAAAATTTGTTCATTTATTTTGTGTTCATTTGTTTGTTTTATTAAGTTAAATGAACGAACAAGAACAAGACCTTTTTTGTTCGTTCAGTTTGTTTACAGCCCTAAACTCAATACATATGACTTAATACAATCCGTTACCGGTTAACTATACAACCCAATCAGACTACTATGACACAATATTCAGTTGCGAACCCAGTAATTTCTTTATGCTAATGCACATATAAGATGGATCAAAGATCTGCAAAATCGGGCCTAGACCTAAGGAGAAATTCAACGTGTTTGACCTTGGGAGAAGTTAATTGTGTCGATTTGGGGAATTAAAAACATTTTTTCAAAATGTAATTGACCTTGATCCTTAAAATAAATACGTGTATACTTGAAGCTGAAATAGAGAACGATAAATTTTAAGATGAATCGACATTGGGAAATAAAATAAATCATGAAAAGAAAATGATAAATCAAAATGGGAGGAAAATTAACAAAAGTTTGCAGTATAATTCTCAATATATTGACAAGAATTGTTGCATATTTTCTACCTCAACACTAGTCAGTAAAATACTTGAGCACAACCCCGCGAAGCTTTTCAATGTATTCTGGTGCTGGTTTCCGCATGATGGAAAAAGACATATCGATACAGAAATGACTCGTAGTTTGCAAGTGAAAGTTAAAAGTTCATTTTTTTATGTATATTAGCTAATTCTACTTTTATTTTACGAGTATCACTTACTTCCATATGTGGCAGAAAACATAAAGAAAGGAAATGAAAGAATTAACACTATTAAAAAAGATTTTTAAAAACGCAAAACAACCCAACATTTCGTTGTAAATGATATATATTTAAATGGTATATTTATAAAAATGACATATTTCCTTTTCTTTTACTTCTTTCCTGTTCATGAAAAATTATTTACTTTCTTTTCATTTTCTTCCATTTCCATCCTTTCAAGAACACAAGTAAAAAAATTTGTTTCAATTTCCTTTGTTTTTCACCCTATAAAAAGGATGGAGGACCTTTGTAAACACCTTTTTATACGAGTAAAAATTAAGTTTGGGATACATTTTTACAAGGTTTTTGAAAAACCGTGTAAAAATGTATATTTTTTTACACGGTTATTTTAATAAACCATGTAAAGATGTTTCGAGATCTTTTGAAACGATTTTTCACAAATACTCGTGTAAAATGCTTACACATTTTTCCATAGTTCTGGAAACAACCATGTAAAAAGGTATTCAAACTTTTTATAGGGTTATGTAATAAAAAAAGACCATGTAAAAAAGTATTTAAAGAAACAGGGGTACATTTTTATATAGTGTTTCAAAACCGTGTAAAATAAAGTGTGTAAAAAAAGTCATTTCTGAAGTAGTGAAGGCGAAAGATTTCATGCTTGCAAGCGACTGAAAGTGGTTGTTATGGAAAGATTGGGGCTGATAATAAATCACTATCAATCACGACCTTGATCATAAATCACTGAACAAAGGCTGATATATATGAGATGACTATTTAAACTTAATTTTGATGTACAACTTTCGATTTGTCAGAGTTGAATGCTGACAAATTTCATGTCCCACTATTTAAACTCAATGTCCAAGAATCAAATGCATAGGAAATTTAGATTAAGACAATCAAAGGCTAACAATAACATGAATCGAAAGCAATCATCAAAGCATAAATAACAAGAAAACGTAAAAATGAACGTACAAGTACAATTCTTTTCACTGGTGTCGCGGTAAGCAAATAAGAGATCTCTAGAATGGCCCGTTGGCTTAAGTGCAAGGAGGAAGCGATCCCATTTCACTACTTGGGTCTCCCCTTTGGAGGTAACATGTCGTACTTGGCAAGTTGGCAGCCCGTCATTGAGAAGTTCAAGTCACGTCTCTCGGTCTGGAAAGCTAGGCCTTTGTCCATCGGTGGAAGGTTATGCCTTTGTAAATTTGTGTTGGGCAGTTTGGGTACTTACTACTTTTCGATGTTCAAAGCTCCTAAGAAGGTAATTAGTACTCTAGAAAATATAAAACGGCGTTTTTTCTGGGGCGGTACGGAGGATGGAAAAAAAATTAGTTGGGTGGTGTGGGATCGGGTTCTTAGCGATAAGAAGAGTGGCGGGTTGGGTATTGGGAGTTTACATGCCTTAAACCTTGCAATGCTTGCCAAATGGTGGTGGAGAGAGCGTACGGAAGATCAGGCAATCTGGAATGTGGTCGTGCGTCTCTGTAACTCGTCTCAATTCTTCTCTGGAGCGAGCAGAGGCAGAAGATCTATCTGGAGAAGTATCAAAAGTATTGAAAAAGACTTGGGGGACATCGGGATCAATATCGATAGTCATCTGATCGATGTGCCGGATAGAAATGGGTGGTCTTGGTTGCTGGAGGCTAACAATATATTCTCTGTTAGATCTTTGAGGAGATTGATTGACTGTGTTACGCTTCCTTCTGTGGAACAGGAAACAGATTGGCTTAAGTGGATCCCTAGCAAGGCTA